ATCATATCCTTCCTTCCTTTTCTCTGCAGTCATTATACATGAATCATGACACCTGTCTTTCAAAATTCAATCTTTTTTTGGTTTATTTATTCATTTATTCATATGTGCATACAGTGTTTAGGCGATCTCTCCCCACCCTCAACCCCTCCCTCTTTCCCCCACCCTCCTCGCTTCCAGGCAGAACCTGTTCTGCCCTCTTCTCCAATTTCGTTGAACAGAAGACAAGCAATAAAAAAGACACAGCGTTTTTGCTAGTTTAAGATAAGGACAGCTATACAGAGAGATTCCTAGCACTGCTTGCATGCACATGTGTATTACAACCTGAATTGATTCATCTCTACCAGACCTCTTTAAAACCGTATCTTCTCCTTCCCTTTCCTATTTACACCTTCCTTCCATCTATAATTAAAACTGTTCTCATTTATATGTTGCCCCATCTTTATCTCCCCATCCACAATCCTTTCTTTTAGCAGGTAATTAGATTGCCAGATTGTTTTTTGGTTTGTTTGCTTAATTTTCTTCATCTCTCTTCCAACATAATATTAACTAGATCTTTTCTACCTACTTCACACCACCATCTCATTAACTTCTATTAGTAGGCTAAGCCACCATTATTTCCTGCCTTATAAAGCCACACATCTTACATTATTCATTAGTGTTATCCCACCCATCTCCCCATTACCACCCCTATTAACTAACCTTATTAACTTATTCCTAGATCATGAAGATTCATCTTTGCTCCTATATTCTTCAAAATATACTAGAGCAGAAGTGGTGATTTGACTTTGTTAGTTCATAATCTTAAGGTTGTGGCTTTTGCAGCTAAGCTTCCTCTTCCTGAGTGGAGTAGGGAACTGCACCCAGTATCTTGAGCACTGAAGTCGATTATTTGACTACTGAGCCATACCTCTCCAGTCTAGTAACAAGAAATTACACCACAACCCAACCACTACCTGTGTTTAATCTTTGAGAAATTCTAACCAAAAGGACATAGAAGATTGAAACCTTCAACTAAAAACTCAGCCCCAGATGCATAAGTCCCAACATAGAAACAGAAATTTCATGAAAAACCAAGGCAATATGTCTCCTGTAAAAGCCAACAACTCCATAACAAAGAACTTATGTGATAGAGAAAAAGAAGAAATTTCAAACAATG